GGTGTGAGAAACTCCAAGTGGTGGTCTAGACTCATTGCTTGGTGTTCTCTTTTGTTGAAACGGCGGAGGTTCTAAGGCGTGAGAAGACCCAGTTGAAATTGACCTGACTCTAGGGGCTGGTTTTCGGCTTGATGTGTCGATCTCATTATCAGTCCCCTGAAAGGATCCTAAAAATGGCAGGTCTTCATTGCAAGAACTCTCGATATTTCTTGCCGAAAGTTGACTTGAAGCACGCTTTCGTACCCTGTGAGGGGCCAGGCCGGGTTGGGTCGGGGCTAGCGGAGATGACTTGGAGCTCAGTTGATTTGTGTCTGCGGCATGGCTCCGTCGTCTAGGATTCCTGATAGATGGCCGAGGCGGCGAAGGTCGCTTCTTGGAGTCTTGAGAGCCGTTATTCTGGCTATTAAATGAAGATTCGAATGACATCATCTCGCAGTGAAATAAAAATGGGCGTTGAGGATGATCACGAAGATGCCGTATGGGTTTGGTACATCTTATCACGGCAGGTTGCTATCCTTAAATACGTTGGTTCTGAACATCTCAAGGCAGACTCGGTCGGGGCTGGCGAGTAATGAAACGCTGTTGGTGACCGGGGTTGAGGGCGGTTATGTTGGTTTGGGGAACTGCGCCTCCCCTTGTTGGCCCGTATTTGGCGATAACCTCCGCTTCTGCATATCGAATCTTGACTTTTACCAACACAAAATGCACACTCCTATCATTGCGGACCATTGGGGTCCGTTTCAAAACCCTGTCTTCTAGCACGCAATGCCACGATGCGTTGCTGCATGGCATCCGCAGCATGCTTGTCTTGAGGGGCTGGTGTGCGCAGGCCAGAACAACGGCCGGCCAGGGGAATGAGGGCAGTGTGTGAAGGAGGCCGCCATCATTCCTAGCCTCTGTGTTAACGTTGTTGTCAACGCCCGGTTAAAAGTGGAAAATCGTGCTATTATTTCCATGCCTGGAAAGTTTAATGTTGCCGTGTGTGGCTTCTTACATGCCTCCTTTGTAGTATGAAATTGTTGCCATCGTTCAATCCGTACTTAAGAGTTTAAAGCTCTTTGGCTCATCACAAGGCTTTCGCTATGCCCGTATTGGTATAGTTTACGGGAAACGGCTGAGCTAACTAGTTCTTTTCCTACTTCCGACAACGCCAGATCTGACTAAACAAATGTGCAATGAGCATTCTCACCTCGCCTCGGGATGCCACCATTTCAAGGTGCCCTGAGCATGGAAAATGACGGTTTGATCATGCCTACGTCGCGCGATTACCAACATACCCTGTAGAATGTATTTCAAGCGAGAATTCATCCATGGGTGCTACTTTCTGCTATCTTGAGAGATATTTCAGCTTCCCACGCGACGCTAATAGAGTGGCTTGACGGAAGAGTCTTCGGCGTGTCCTGCATGGTTTTTTCGTGAGTTCTTGGGTGATTCAAGGGCATTAGAGGCTATTCATAAGCGTACTTTCAAAGTACGGATTGACCCCATCACTGGCGTGCGTGAGCGTGGAGGCTCTGGGTTCCGGCTTACAGCTGGATCCGCCTCATCGTAAACTATACCTAACTCGGCACGCCTATTAAGAGACAGGTACCGACGCCATGGTCGAAGGATTCAGGGATCAGCATCTGTGTGGAGGCTTGTTTCTCCAACACTCGCCTAGATGGCGTGTATCTCGGTCACCATTAGCTGGCAAGTGCCGAGGCAGATCTGGAAGAGTATCTAGCCATGATGTTGGAAAATTGATATAAACCTCCTAACGTCGCAGTCATTTTTCACATTTGGCTCATCTCAACCACAATCTCATCAGCAATCATCTTTCATCCAACTTAGCTAACATCATGCATCTTTTGCTTCCAATTCTATGCTTCGCGGCTTTCACGCTGGCGGCTCCGGCAGGCAACTTGCCGGTGGTGGATCTTACCTACGTATGCAGTTCCAAATACTGATAATTCTTGGGGTTGCTGAACCTTGACGATCTGACATCCTCCCAGGCATCATATCGAGCAAACAGTTTCAATGTAGGCTTTAAATAACCCTGATTCCGGCTATCAGCAACTGACTCCCATCCAGGAGACTGGTGGCTATTACAACTTCTCGAACATCCGCTACGCAGCGCCGCCCACGGGACATTTCCGCTTCCGTGAACCAATTGCGCCTACTGGACGGCAATGCCACGTCGACAACGGGGACATCGGGCGCGTGTGCCCTCAATCTTCCGGAAATTGGTCTCTCATAGCCAGCCAGTTCTCGAAAGCCTATCTTAACGGCCAGACATTCGACTATAATGCCGCGATGGCTGCCGTCCCCAAGAGTGATGCTATCGTCAGCGCAGATTCCCGCACCACTGAAGATTGCCTTTTCCTCGACGTCATCACGCCTCAGGCGGGGTTTGCCAAGAAGGAAAATCGCTTGCCGGTCTTGATCTATGTACGTAATGGCTTGTCTTCATGAAGTCGATGTCTCAATCAGCAAGCTGACTCGTCTTCTTTGCAGGTTTATGGCGGTGGCTACTCAAGCGGCGACAAGACAGGTGATGGCGACTTCAACCCCGCCGAGCTTCTGAGAATTAGCAACTCGGGCTTCGTCTACGTCTCCATCAACTACCGACTCGGCGCCCTTGGCTGGCTTGCAGGCAAGGAAGTCTCTGCCAATGGGACCCTGAATGCAGGGCTTTATGACCAACGACTAGCTTTTGAATGGGTTCAACAGCACATCCACCTCTTCGGGGGCGACAAACACAGAGTTACTGTCATGGGAGGTTCAGCAGGTGCCGGGTCAATCATGCATCACCTGACAGCCTTCGGTGGTCGCAAGAACGAGTCTCTCTTCAGCCAAGCCATCCTTCTCTCGCCCGCATTCCTCCCTTCGCCGACGATGATCAGCGCCGAAAGAGCGTTTAGCAACTTCCTCGCCCTCTTGAACGTCACATCTCTCAGCGAAGCCCGCAAGTTGCCTAGCGAAGCTCTCATCGCCGCCAACGCCTTGCAAATCTACAGCGAGGCATCCTATGGAAGCAACATCTATGGACCCGTCGTGGACGGCACTCTCGCTCCTGCTCTGCCTGGTCAACTACTTCTGAACGGGACATTCAACAAGGACGTCAGGATCATGACGATGCACAACACTTTGGAAGGTCTGACCTTCACCAACCCAACGATCAACTCGTCCGCCGACTACCTCTCCACGGTCACGTCATCTTTCCCAACGATCTCAAAGGACGCGCTGAAGTTCATCAACACAACCCTATATCCTCCGGTGTTTGATGGATCTTTGGGATACAAAGACGAATTTCAGCGGGCCCTGGGCACAGTTGAGGACGTCAACATCATTTGCAACACCCACTACATTGCCCAGGCGTTCAGTAATCAGGCGTATGCACGTAAGTGACACTATTCACGCATTTGATTCCCATACTTCCTTGCCTTCAACACAGGTAACCTCCGCACTGAAGCTTTACTAATACATTGGAAATCCAGTGCGGTTTGCAGTCCCTCCTGGAATCCATGGCCAGCAGACACCTTACGTCTTCCGAAACGGTGCAACAAGCGGCGTCGTCCCGTCGGTAGCTGACGCTCTACAACAGTACATTGTCAGCTTCGTCACCAAGTCGGTACCAAGTTTGTCGAACGGCACTGAGATGCCTGTGTACGGTGCAGAATCCGTGTTGGTCAATCTTGCAACCAATGGGACCTCTTTGCAAAAGGATGACACAGCAAACCAGAGGTGCACATGGTGGCAAAAGGGGCTGTTCGCCTAATGTCTCTATATGGCTACCATAACGATGTTTTCCGGGATGTTTCAGCCTTCGAGAACAATGCTGCATGCACGGTACATAAGAGAGGCGGTCTGTCTTGGTCTACCAGAAAGGGATATTGTAATTACGTCCTTTGAGAATTGATGGTTGTTCACGTCATAATCTTTACTCCAATTTGCCTAATTGGGCGTAACGTGTGTCCGCCCGATCAATACGTTGCTGACAGCCTGAGGGTGTGATGCAGGTCACTGCCATCTCCGTATGGTGTGGCTGTCTACGTCTGCCAAGATTGACGTATGCTGTGCCACAACTCAGCCCATCGTCAATCAAAAGACGTTTGCCTCCACGATTGTTTTAATTGATAGATTTCTCAACTGCTTAAAAAGAGAATATTGAAATTGACGGTCATTCTTTCAGCACCTCAAACTTCAAATATTTCACCGTTGAGACGGCCACAAACGATAATCTAAGCAACATGAGACAAACTCCAATGGAGTCAGAGCATGAGTATGTGTAGTCGATCTCAATTTCAGCAATGCTAATGTTCAGAAGGAACAAGGGCAAAACGAATAACTCCCACGAGGCCACGCTATTGGAAGAACTAGACGGCGACACGCCGCAATGGATTGACTGTCCGTACTGCTGCAAACGGGCACAAACCTCAGTCTCCAAGACAGGGACAAAACGCCAGCTGTAGGATTTGAATACGTGTAGTATTGCTGCGTGAAACAGACTGGTAACAAGAGAACAGGCTTCTTCGAGTGGTATCAGGTTTATTCTTCTTCGCCGTACTTTGTGTTCCGGGTGCTATAGGATGGCTTGAGGATGTACACTATGAATGCGCCGAATGCCACAGGACTGTTGCAACGAGGCCGCATAAAGGGCCAATGAAGATCTACAAGTCGGCCGAGAAAACTGAGAATAAGGAACTTTGAAGGCCTGCGTGATGGAACAGGTCTTCTGTGGTTTCACAAGAAACAAAATTGCGTGGGATATTTTTCCAGCTGCATTTCAGTTTGTCCCCATTCTGATTTTCTTCGGCGCGTGCTAATTGTTTAGACGTCCTGTATTATAGATGATGAAATATCTATCATAGCGTAAACATAGTCGACTTGGCAAATCTGTCTTTGAATCCGCTAGACTCGCGTTCTGTTCGGTGCTATTAATTCAACCAATTTGGAGCAAGAGAACAAGCATGGCAACCACAAAACAATGGTAACTTTTCGTGCCACCTCTACTTATCCGGTCAGGTCAGTATAAACCTCTTCGCCTCACATTTGCCATCGTTAAGTTCTTTCAGCACCTCCCCTTTCATGATTCCGGATACATATGTCTCGCCCACAACCTCGTAGTCACCTGCTTCTCGGCCTCTCAGTATGAACGGCACGTGAGAGCCGAACAGAACGACGACATTATCACCAGTCTCCGCCCCCGCTGGCGCAAGGCCCATGTACCCCTTCTTAGTGATAAAGAAGCGTCGGCCCAGTGCGTATTTTCCGAGCTGAAAGTCTGCATCGCGCTCTTCCAGTTGTGGTATGATAGAGGGCGACTCTCCGTAGGCTTGGAAAGCAAGTTCCCGCAGTCGGGCTGTCTCTTCCTTGTCTGGACTTAGCAAGCTGTGCTCCCATTTGTACCGCCGAGATTCGGCGGTCTCTCTCAAAGCCTTTTTGTCAAATTGGCAGCGGCTTTGCCAGTACGGGTCTGGGACAGTGCTGGGGAGGCTGAATGGGCGGTGATACAGATCGTAAGGCTGTAGGCTCCACATGTCTGCCAGTCGCTGAAAGCTTACCCTCAGATCCTGCAATTCTTTGTCCGAGGAGGCCATGGGCGGCAACGCTGAAGAAAGAACAGCCTCGACAGTACTTCGACTTGCGATTCCTGCTAGGTCTCTGCTTCGAGACTTCAAAATTTCTTGGCGCTCCGCAAGTTCTGCTTGTCGTGGATTCCGGAAGGTTACAGGTGGCTCCCCTACAATCCAGTCCTTTGCCACTTCTGGGAGACAACCTTCAAAATCGTCCACTGAATGATACTCCTGACCTGCAACGAGACTATCCCAGAATGCTGCATGCTGCGCCTTGACAGAAGAATAAGGTGACGTGCGTCGACAACCTAGGGCCGCCTGCTTGCACTTCCCAACAGCAACAAGAAACACTGTTGAACTTTCCCAGCTCGAATATAATTCCCCTATATATGGTTCGTGTATCCATTCAATTTCGTCCCAAAGAATGCCCTCCACGTCCACTGTGTTTTTCGCATTGTCCACGAAGAAGTCGCTTTTCGAGTTTCCCCCGGCCGCGTATGCAGGCCGCTTCTTTTTATCCTCGTCGAACCAGCTGCGAACAACGTTTCGCTGAGTCAATATCTGGTTTGATTTGCTGACATGGTCGGCAGTCTCGTGCATTCCCAGGTTCGCCTCTGGATCGATGTAGTGCTCGTCATGGACACCTGCAAACACGAGCCTCTTCTGGTCAACAAAGCCTTGGATTTGATCCACCATTTCGCGCGGCAAGTATCTTGCCCACTCCTGTGGATCATGGCTGACCTTTCCTCGTTTCAGGACCCTTTGCGCCTCCTTTTCAGCAAACCCATAAGATCCTGGGATCTCGATACTGAGCACGCCTTCCTTGATTCCAATCACTTGTGAGACTGCCCACCAAGGAATGTCGCCGTGAGTCTTTGCATCACGGCTTGGAAGAGGTATGTCGCACCGTTTATGAGACCAATCCGGGACCCAAGATGGCAACATCTGGCTGCCGGAATGCATTTTGTGGTTTGATGCTTCTGTGCAATGTCTCAAAACTTCCAAGCCTTTCGAAATTTTCATCGAAGCCGCCGCGAACGCAATGTAGATGTCTCCAACAGGTTTCTTGTAATCAACTTCGAGCCCTGGAAGGATGATGCTGAGGGGGAAAGAGACCAAGCCCAATATGCCATAGATCTTGTCCCGAGGATCGGTTGCGTTGAAGTGCCGATATTCCACAACGAGTCGGAGCATCTCTGTTGCATCGATCTTGCCTTCTGCCAATTTGCCAAAAAGCCGCTTGGCACTCCAACGTACGTAGTCCAAATGTAGAGCTTTTTCAACTCCGGCGATAGTCTGACGGTGCATAGACTCATCAACTTTGATCCTTGCACATGCCATCACCAGAAGATTCCATTGTATCGCCACTTTCCCGCAGCGGAGAATTACCGAATCGGCCGTCAGCATCTTCCTCATCCCGCCGCCCCAGCAGATCTCTTGGACAATCCAGACCCGCTCCCACCACGGTCTGCTAAGTAGCCCTTCTATCGCCTCACACAATTCAGGCATTGCTCCATATGGTGCCTCCGTCGCGAGATGTGTCAATGTGTAAATGGCCAGGTCGCTGTTCTCGCTCTCCGATCCGAGCCACACCGTGATGGCGGCACATCGGAGGTATACAACACCCATTATCATGACTTGCGAGTTTCGTTCGTCGATGTCCTGCTGGTTGATGCACAACGCATCCACCCAAAGCGCCACTTCTTTGTCTTTCTGTCGACGCTGTCGGAGAAAAGAAGCCAAGTTTGGGGTTATTTTGAGGTAAGTGTTCTCATGAAGTATGAGCATCTCGGTTGCAGCCTCCGTTCCCCACGTGTAAGAAAGGGCTTCATAGTTCATATCTCCGTTCACAGCCAGATTTGATGTTTCCAAGCAACACCGGAGCGGTTCCGTTGGGCCATCAGCCGGTAAAAGGTGTAGAAGACGGATCTCACCGCGGGTATCATCCCAGCGAAGCGGCGTGTATTGGTATGGTTGGGATGCGTTGGCCAACAAAGGTTGCCCTGAGTTCGCGTTCGTGGGCTTCATGTTGTATGTCAAGGAAAAAGATCGAGAAGTATCAGCGAGTTCAATGGGCGCGTTTGGCCTGCTTCAAGGAAGCTGAATGAGAAATCGAATACTCAAAAACCCAGGATGTCGCTGCAACCCTTTATATTCTTGAAAGCGCGTAACTACGCGCCAACACCAGCGGATGTGACCCCTTACCATGCAGGCCACTGAACCAACAGCATAACAACTGACCAATTATAAGTTTATACATTTTATTTGGCCAATCATTTAACCAGGGAAAAAGGGGGATGGAGACTGCTGCCTCCGCAGGCAAATTGACGTCTACGCACCCTCAGCGCGAAAAGCTTCTCCACAGACGCTGCGCAATCTTCGGCGCAAGGCCAGGCATGAGGTAAGCTGTACGATTCGAAATGACTTGGAAAGAATGTCCGCAAATTCCGTATCAAGTTCATGCAGAATACTGAGTGGCGTTGCCCCGAAGGCCTCTGGAATAAAGTCGTTGGGGCCAAATTAGGAGCTTTCAAACGCCGAATGACCACTTGGTTGTCAGGGGCTACACTCCATATCGGCCGATGGGAATGGCTTGAGAAACTATTAAAACAGTTTAGTTATGCGACCAAATTGCTGCGGAATGGGTAAATGATATTTATGTGCTCATGCAACAAAGCTTGCGCTGTTCACCACTCTAATAACTTACGAGAAAGTTGAATTTTCAAGCAGCAAAGCCGGCGAGGTCGTCAATATGCCCTCCGGAACAGAAAGTGATCTCGAGGCTTGTGATGCAAAGATGCACTCAAAATTACAATTCGCAAATCCGGTGAGATCAAAGCTCCAATCTACAGACTTCCAAAGGCTAACGAAGACTGCTTGGCAGGGCCCATTCGGCTACGGGGCGTTCTCGACGACACTGATGACCCTGTCTCTGTCCATGATGGGCATTCGGAATGTTGAGAATCAGACCGTCTTCATAGCGAATCTCTGCTTCCTTGCCGGTATAGGATTGCTTATCTCTGCGCAATGGGAAATGGTCAGAGGCAACACGTTTGCTTACACGACCTTGATTGCATTTGGTGAGTTTACTACCTATCGCGTTTCGATTCTCTTACTGAGGACCAAAGCCTTCTACTACGGTGGCTACGGATTCCTTCTCATCCCTTCCGTGGGCATCGTGGATGGTTATGGAGGCAAGACGGCGGAATATCTTAATGCTTTCGGCTTCTATCTTGCTGGTACGCGATTGCGTCTCTTAAGCTGAAACAACTGATGATAACATGAGCGGTCCAGCATGGTCGCTTTTCAACCTTTTTTTCTTTATCGCCGCCTTTTCAACGCAAGTTCCCCCCTATGAAGAGCTTTACCACATGCTGCATGCTGACCCTAGCGAAACTGAAGCAATATCGCAAACGTCGTCGTGTACGGCGCACTCGAGCTCTCCTACACCTTCAACTGCGCCGCGAACTTTGCCTTTGCGGATGGCCACACGTCTTCGGGTATGAGCTTGACGAAAGTCGCCGGATCGTTCGGGTTCATTGCCGCGCTGGCGGGATTCTATGCCATGGCAAACGGCTTCTGCGGCGATGTGCTGCCGTTTGAGATACCGTTAGGCGATCTCTCAGGGTTCTTTGCGAAAAGCAAACTACCTGGCAGTGGCACCAGAAGAAAAACCACGTGAGGTTCGGAGTGGAACACGCCGTTCTTCGTGGTCTGCCCGGCCAAACGCCGTTTGCTGCCGATGGCCGAACGGCGCCGGAGATCCACAATCGATCGGCTTCTGCCGGGTCCTACATCGGGATTTGGCGTCTCATCCGCATTACCCGGTTTGGTTGTTTGGTTTTATGAAATGGTCATATGAGCAGATAGTCTGCAGCAAGTGTCATACAATGGCTAGTTGTGTTTCTTCATCATGCTTCTTGTCCCCCATCCAAAGTCTTCCGTCTCCTGCACAGAATAGATCCGGTGCAACTTCCTGTATTAAATACGGTAATTCAAGCCTCTCAACGCACTCTCAATGTCATATGGAACTGACCTACATTTTTTTTGAAGATCCATGAAGCCGAGCTTCGACGGAGTCAACCAAGCGTACCCGCGGCGCATTTTACTTGGACAAGCGTTCGTAAGACGCAAGTTTCCACTATGTTCCGCAACGACTCGGCTCAAGACGATGCCGACAGATCCCAAAGAGAGGATAGGAGCGTGGTGGCAAGCCGTCCGCCCTCCAAAGCCGAAGCCGAACCATTCAAGCCGAGGACCGGAAGCCGAGATGGGTCGTGTGGGGCTGCCACCCCCGACATCCGGCCCGTCTCCGTCGAGTGTCAGCGCTGGTTACCCCACTTTCCAGCTCATTGACCCCCATGCCCGCCCCCCTCCCTCTGCAAACTTGCACACTTCCTCCATCTAAACGGACTCTGCAGCGGGAATAGACACACTAGCCCCGGGGAATAGCGGATTCGCCATGCTTTAGTGTCAGCCCGCCCATCCCCCTTCGCGCGTGAACTGCTGGGGCAACAGACAGAAAGCCTGCCGTGCCGTCCATCACATACATACCCGCTATTGCGTGATTGGGTCTCTTGCAAATTTTGATAAGTGAGCAAAAGGGGGACGGGACATAGTGTACGTTACGCCTGGAGAGCGGGCGGGCGCTGCCATCAGAGATTACATGGTCAAGTCAGGCAGGTAAGCCGTAACAGGCCTCTGGTGCAGTAGTCGCTGGACGGTTGCTGACCTCTCGTGAGTCACAAGACGGCTCAGCGCTGACGCCGGGCCGCGACCGGCGGCGGTAGCGGTAGAAACGGCGGTGGACAGCTGTTGGTGGTGGCTGGGAAGAGGACAGGACAGACGAGAGACCCCTCTCAATGAATTGAGAAGGATTTGAGAGGGGGCGGTAACAGGGAATCGGCCTGGGCCGCATACCTCGACCGGCTTCTTACAGCGCATTGCAGTGTGTAGGGGAGCGGAGAAGTTCAAGGTTGCCCGCCGCAAACCGGGGGTGGACCGTGGGAAAAAAAAGCTGCATGCGGAAGCCAATTCTTCACACACTCTCTCTCACTCTCATACTTTTTTCTTTTCCTTTCATCATCTTTGACTCATGACATTGTGTCATTGACTGGAATGGACCCTTGAGGCTCAAGTCGTAAAGTTTGGGATTACATGCAATTCTGCGCAGGAGCTTAGATTGCTTGCATACAATCAACTCAATTGCAACCTCATTCTGTCTTGGCCCAGGATTCACAGACATCGTAATTCAAGGTTCACCCACCATCCTGCTCACACGAGCCTCAAACTCTGTACACAATACTAACTCATGTTCAGTTTTCAATAACATTGAATCCTAAATAACACCAATCAAAACAAATCATGGCTCCCAAAAAGGGGACCTCGCCGTCCTCGGACGAGAGAACGCCCCTCCTCCCCTCCATCGAACACCAACCAGCAACGCCCCTCCCCATCGGCTCGGAAACCAACGCCATCCCGCCAAACGAATTCGACCTCCTCCTCTCCAAGTCCCTCCCGACCACCGGCCCCTTCCTCGAGCCCGAGTCCACCGTGAACCCGCTCCTCCGCGGGCCCCGCCGCTACTCCAAAACCTCCAACCGCCGCCCGTCCCTCGCCAGCCGCTCCGACCGCTCCGACTCCGGCCTTGAGACCGCCGTCACCATCGCCGACGACGATGCCTCCGACGCCGCCAGCATCAGCAGCGTCGAGTCCACGCCCTACCTCAACGGCATCTCCCGCTCGCGCTTCTGGTTCATCTTCGCCGAGATCCTGCTCACCTACTTCATCGCCTGCTTCGACGGCACCATCATGGCCAGCAGCCACCCCGTCATCACTTCCTACTTCCACGCCTCCAACAGCGCGTCCTGGCTCTCCACCGCCTTCCTGCTCACCAGCTCCGCCTTCCAGCCCCTGCTCGGCCGCCTGTCCGACAGCATCGGCCGCAAGCCGCCCTACGTCGCCACCATGGCCATCTTCTGCGTCGCCACCGTCTGGTGCGCCCTCGCCCAGAGCATGACCAGCTTCATCCTCGCCAGGGCGGCCTGCGGCCTCGGCGCCGGCGGCATGATGACCCTGGGGAGCATCATCGTCAGCGATCTGGTGCCCATCGAGTGAGTCCCCCTTTTCCTCCCCTTCGATACCGTGGTAATATATACGCCCACACAAACAACTAACACACTCTCCAGAAACCGCGGCGCCTACCAATCCTACATCAACATGATCTACGGCGTCGGCTCCGCCCTCGGCGCGGCCCTCGGTGGCGCCATGGCAGACCACCTCGGCTGGCGCTGGGAGTTCGGCATCCAGGTCCCGCCCCTCATCATCTGCTGCATCATCGCCGTCATCGCCGTGCCCGGCGACCTCGGCCTCCCGCGCGGCGCCAAGCGCGAGACCCTCGTCGAGGCCCTGCGCGCTTTCGACTTCAAGGGCTCCGCCCTTCTCACCACCGCAATCACCTTCTTCGTCCTCGGCCTCAACCTCGGCGGCAACGTCCTGCCGTGGTCCCACCCCGTCGTCGTCGCCTCGCTCGTCATTTTTGGGGTGTCCTTCCCCGTGTTCTTGTACGTCCAGTCGTACGCCGGACGGCCCATCATGCCGCTGTACCTCGTCCGCCACGCCCCGAGGGCGAACCTCATCTTTTCAAATTTCTTCGCGGCCCTGCTGAGTAACGCCATCCTGTTCAACATGTAAGTCTCTACCTTTCGATCCAAACTTCCCCCCTTGCTAACACCACGCTCCAGCCCCCTCTTCTTCCAAGCCGTCCTCCTAACAACAGCAACCTCCTCCGGCCTCCGCCTCGTCCTCCCCTCCGTCGTCTCCTCCATCGTCGGTACCGCCACCGGCTTCCTCATCACCTACACCCGCCGCCTCAAATGGCCCCCGCTCTCCGGCGCCTCCGCCCTCTTCGTCGGCTGCCTCGCCCTCTCCCTCATGCGCCGCGGCTGGCCCTCCTGGCTCTACCTCCTCTGCCTCGTCCCCTCCGCCGTCGGCCAGGGCTTCCAGTTCCCGGGCACCTTCATGGCCGTCCTCGCCGCCTCCGACCAGCGCGAGCAGGCCGTCGTCACCAGCACCCTCATCCTCTGGCGCTCCCTCGGCATGGTCCTCGGCGTCGCCAGCAGCAGCCTCGTCGTGCAGAACGCGCTCGTCGGCTACCTCGACGAGTTCGTCACCGGCCCCGACAAGGACGAGGTCATCCGCAAGGTGCGCCAGAGCGTCGAGGAGGTCGTGAAGTTGCCTGAGGTGTACCGCGAGCAGGTCGTCATGAGCTACGAGGCGGCACTGCGGCTGACGTTCGTCTGCTGTACGGCGATTGCGTTTGTGTCGGTGCTGACGCTGGTGCCGATCAAGCTGCCCAGGCTTGGTTCGCGTAAATAAGGGGTACTCAGATGATAATGTACATGATTTCAAGCACCATGTTGAGAATGATATATAAAGCATAGCATCAAATGGCGTTAGCTGGGATCACATAATAAAAATTTCAATTTGCCATGCCCAGGCGTTATAAGCCAGCCAGCCCACCACCCCGGTGTTTTCACAAAAGACCCAATCGTACAGTACAATACATTCTAATAGTGTCCGTTCACCCCGTTGCTGCGGAGCGCGTCCAGCTCCTCCTTCGTCTTGCGGTAGAGCTCCTGCGCCTCGCGCTCTCTCCTGCTGACGAATCCGACCTCGTCTCTAAGGGCACCCAGGCGCCGTTGGATGGCGACCTCTTCCGAGATGGCGAGGGTCTTGAAGCCGCTGAGGGCGTTGTTGGCCTTCTCCAGAGCCTCGGCGGCCTCGCCAATCTTGTCCTTTAGCATCTTTTGCCTCTTCTGGTAGCCGCCAAGGTGCAGCGCAAGCTTCTTCTCCAGCTTGATGCCCTTTTCGGCAGTGGCCACGATGGCGTCTTGAATTGACTGTGGCATCGTTAGCTAATGATTCGTAGAGATCAACTCGTCTCTGGACTTACATCAAAGGCATCTCTCATAGCTGCCTCTTCTTCCTCCTCATCATCGCCGTAGCAGCCAAGTCCCAGAAGCAGGGAGTTCTTGCCGCGGTTGTCAAAGGACTGTTGAATCTCGGCCCGGGAAGGTCTGGGGTTGGTCTCACTCAGAATCTGCAGGCGGGCCTCGGCAAGATCGTTGTCGCTGATGGTTTGCAGGCGAGGCGGGACACCGCTTACGGTAATCTTGGGTGAAGGGTACTTGACTGCGTCGTTGGCAATCAACGCAGCCGCCTCTCTGGCAATGAGCGCCTCCGCCTCATTCTTCACCTGGCTTGCAACAGACAGAAGTGCAGTGACGTCCACCTGGCTTGGCCGGGGCAGGTTCTTCTGCATGACTTGTGTCCTTCTCTGCATCTCCAGGGCGTGCTGTGCTGCCTTGTACTCGGCTTCTCTGCGGTCTCGTTCCGCAGCATCCTCGAGCATCATCTCGTCGGTTGCTGCGAGCTCCTTCTGCTCATCAGGAAGCTCCAGCTCCCATTCAGTATCTTTCGGTTTGGGCAAAGACGCCAAGCCTTGTCGTAGTTGACTACGCAGAGCCATGTCTCTCATCTTCACGTCTCTCGGGGTGGCGCCGACCATTGTGCCGTCGTTGGCATTCAACGCAAAGCTATCGCGGGGCGTTCTCATGGGGGTCTGGCCAATCCGAGCTGGTGTTTGACCAACGCCGTTGGCATGCATCGGCGTCGCCATGG